TACATTGTTGAAAGTGCCAACTACAGCATTTAAAAATAGAGTCCATACCATTAATGTAAATGAGATTGTTAGAACATACATTACTTTGTCAAAATTAATGATCCTGTATATAAAGTGCCTTAGAAGATAATTACAAAATTTTACTAAATAATGATAATAGTTAAAATTCTGTAGACTACATGGGGTTGAGTGTCCTGATTCATGGCCATGAAAATACACAAATTATTTATTTAGAACATTATTTTCTTATTTCATTCAGAAATATGTAAACCTAGGATTTCATACTGCATGTTTAAAATTAGATGTGAAGAGATATTTTAAGAAATGGAACCTGTGCCAGAAAAAGAATCACCATGAAGGTTAATATATATGTGTGTATGTATGTGTGTATATACATATATGTATACACATGTATAAGTATATATATACACATTTATAATTATTACTAGTATATAGAATATATGCAGCTATATATTTTAGAAAATACACATTTTATTATATATAATGTCAATATATAAATATTAAGCTTTTTTTTTTTTAAAGATTTATTTATTTATTTATTTATTTATACAAGCACTGGGTATAGTCAGAAGCCTGGGAGGGTGAGAGGATTCACCAGAGCCAGAGCGGGGAACAGAACAGACAGACCAATGAAATACACTGCTGAGGAGAGCAGCAGGCATGGCAGGAGAGGTCTGTGTGCCACGTGGGACCCTCACCTGCGGCCAGGGATCGAATCGGCGCTGTAGAGGCTGTGGGCAGCTTCTCAGCCCAGCGCTCAACCACTGCACCACCAGGGGAGGCCCTAGCTGTTTTTCTTAAAGGATAAAAAAATGAAAAATAAAAACATGCTTGTAGACACAGAGAACAGACTGATGGTTGCAGAGGTGGATGGGATGATAAGGATGGTGAAATAAGTGTAGGGGTGTAAGGTACAGACCTCCATTTATAAAATAAATAAATCATAGGAATATAATGTACAGCACAGTGAATATACTTAATATTATATAGCATATTTGAAAGTTAAGAAAGTAAATCTTACAAGTTCCCATCATAAAAATAGTGTAACTGTACAGTGATAGATAGTAACTAGACTTGTTGAGATCAGTTTTAATTAATGCAGTTATCCAGTTATTATGTTGTAAACTGACACTATCACCTCATTATACCAAATTACGTTACACCTCAACATAAATGAGTGAATGAATAAATGCATAAATAAAGTCCCATACCTTAATAGAATAGAACAGATTCCATTTATGTACCTCAGAGATACTTTGGTAATTGGCCGTGGTTCCTTGTCATAGAAACAGTCTTCACTTATAATATCTGATCAGATGTTTAGGAAACTATAAAATTTCCCATTCATGGAAATAAAACAAATATATTTACTTTCTCTTGGATTGTTCTATGTCCCAATTATAATAGTTTTCTATGGGAATGCTCAAAATTTTTTGACTCTTCCCTTAGCCATTTCTATCTGGTCTAATTTAGATATTGCAGAACATTCAGTAAATTTATTTTGGATTTTTACCATTTCATTCCAAGGATGCTTGCAAGTCACCTGAAGTTCAATTTCTACTTTGTTTTCATTGAAGTGAATGATGGGTCTGAGAAATAATCTTCCTAATAGTACCAAGTTTGTGTTAACATAAGGTTCAGTTTGTGAAACCTAGATTTTAACACTCACCTTTGCAATTATTCAAAGAATAAAGGCACAAATCAGGGATAGATAATTATATATCTGGAATCCAAATCATTTTGAACCCAATATCGTGATGAATAGTTTTCCATTTCCTACATCAGGTTGTGAGCTTTAAGAAATAGATGCAGAAAAACTTTACAGCTCTTTTCATATTTGGGCATTTTCCTTTTCAGAATTCTTAGAATTAATGACGAAAAGAAATGGTTTGTATATCCTTCATCAACTGGGCCTCATAAGTACTGTGCTCATTAAAAATAAATATTTTAGGCATATTGTGTTGTAGAATTAAAAATATTTTGTGAGTGGAGACTTCTGTGTATATTTCTAGCAATAAATATTATTGTTATGAATTTTTCTATTGTCAACTTAGTTTACCTGGGAACTATGTTTTTCAAAATGTATTAATTTGGTAAACTTAGACAATGCTTCTGAATTTCTTCCTTAATGTAAGTTATTTTTCATTGTTTGTGAAACATGGAAAAGTGTAAATTATATAGGTAAAAACAAACAAACATACAAAAACTGCTCCTAAATGCTTTCATGATTGGTAGACTGAGGGCATAATAAAGGCTCATGGGAGAAGTTACTATAAGAAGCAACTAAAAATTTGAAAGATAAGATAGATGATCAGTCAATTAATTAATAGATAGATATAGATTTACGTTTTGTACTTAATAGAAGCAAAGCTATGATTCCTATATTTCTATTTGTTAAATTTATAGAGATCAGTTTTTATTTCCATATAATTATAGCTAGCACAGTAGTATTTAGAATTTTACTATAATTGAAGAAAAATTCTGATTTATAAATATTTGTCTGCATAAAATATCATTACTTCAATTAAATTTTCTTGAATTTCATTTAAAAATCAATATTTTATCATAGAGAAAGAGCATAAAGTATAAATGGAAGTGTATAACTGTAATAAAGACTATAATCCTGCTTATGTGTGAAAGTCTTATGTCTCCTAATTAGTAGAAAAGGATTTTTTTTTTTTTTGGTTAAATTACTAACCAGGTATGTTATTGAGAGTGGAAATTGTTTAATAATACAATAATAGTAAATTACATGTGGGCATTATTTACAATGGTTATGGTCTCCTAATAAGTGAATTAATAGTGAATCTCTGAAAAAATATCTGTCTTAGATTTAATTAAGTAACACCTGAACCTCAAGTGACTGCGAAGTAGTACACAGTATGAAATAGAATTTTTAATGTAAAGGTTAATGACTTAATTAGCCACATTTAAATGTTTAATTCAAATAAATACTCAACCAGTTAACTGTAAAGTTCAGCCATTTGTATCCCCTTACTTATTGATGAAGTTTGATAAGTGGGACAGCACTTCAGATTGAGGAGAGGAAACAGTAATTTAGTAATATTATGGCATGTTAAGATAAGGAATGTGTATGTTAAAATAAAATACACTATGAAACTTAATACACACACATATATTTTAAGATTTATTTATGCCTACAAAAACTGTGGTTTAGGCCAGAGTTGGGGGTGTGTGTGTGAGAGAGGATTCACCAAAGACAGAGTGGGGAGCAGATCAGGTGTATCTCCTGAAATACACTGCTGAGGGGAGCAGCGGGTGAGACAGGAGAGGTCTGCTGTGCCATGTGGGTCAGCTCTGTGGCCAGGGATTGAACTCATGCACCAGTGGCTGGCGATATCTTGATAGGTCTGAGACTTTAACCCCTGCACCACCAGGGAAGCCTGTAATAAATAGAATGTTTTGATAATGATAAACTACTCAAGATCAAGTCAACTTTTATAAGCAAGGGTATTGTATTTTGTTCGAAATACCTTTCATTCTGGGGGTTTACATATTATCTGAAAAATAAATACTTCAAAAATTTTTAAAAATTAGATATTCGTAAACATATATTATGATTGCTGTTTGTTGTAGTGTCTTCGTTCATTTCTGTCATTTGTGTTTTTGAATTCTAAACCATACATTTTGTTTAAAAACTGTCAAAACCACAATTTTATATTGGACTGGATCCACATTAATTAGCTTTACCTGCTTCTACCTACTCTTTTTTTTTTTTTTTTTTTTTTAATCTACAAACCCTTCTTACATTTCTGGTTTAAATGCAGTTTGTTCATCAGCATTAAACATGTCATCCATGATGCTACACTCAAAAAAAAAAAAATGGCAAGATTCACAGAAAACAAGCACTTGACTTCTCTTCAAAATTGTCCTAAATTATTTCTCAATTCAAAAGAGAAAATTGAAGTCATACTCTGTCCCTAAAACATGGAAGCAGAATTTTAGAGAAGCCACAGACTTGAGTCAGTAGACTTGAGTCTACTACAAGTCAATACTTGTAGTAGATGATATGAAAAAGCTTTAAATAAAAGGCTCAACACTTAAGTACAAGTTTCAATTAAGAATTGAGAGTTAAATTCACTTTATGTGATAAAAGAGACTGAATTCAGTAACAGGTATAGCCAAAGGCAAGACATAAGTTAATTTTTCCTCGTGTAGTTCAAACCACATTTTAAATCTTGAAAATTATCAATTACTGTATAGTTATGAAGATCAGAGAATTATAACCATTCTAGGATTTTTATATAACCAGCAATATGATTTACTTAAGATTGTCAAAGTGTCTCATAAAAAAGAATGCTAGTTGAAGTTCCATCTATAATGAATCTTTCTATTACAACTTCAAGTATATACAGTCATCACTGAAGAAATGTGAATTTAAAAATTTGTTTCCTTCTTAATGATGTATTTTTGTTGTACTAACTCTAGTCCCTCATATTATAAGTAAACAGCGAGGTCATGTCTACTGCCTTTCTTTGAAAATTTGCAGTTAGCTTTTGAACTGTAATAATGGTGCCACTAAACATTTATCTTCCTATAAATTACAAGTTTTCTCTCCTCTGCCTTGCTCCAGAGGGCAATTCTGATTTTGTTCTTTCAGCATATTACCTCTTCTGTTAGCCATAATTGCTACATTTTTCTTCAGTGCTGGAATCCACTACCTGGAAGGAGGTAGAAAACATAGAGGCATGAAAATGAGACTGAGAGGAGTAGATTTGTACTAAGTTTGGAAGAGTGTACTTGTGACAAGGCTGGGAGCTCTGCTTAATGATTTTGGAGACTTGATAGGGTTTCTTTAGCTTTTTGCTTTACAGTTCTTGTGGGGTATGGATTTTGCCCATCTTTTCAAGAGCTTTTGCTACCATCACACCTGGTTTCCAATGTAGGCTTGGCAGAAAAAGACAGTAAGAGGTGAGTAACATCATTTTGGAGATATTACACAGGAGTTGCTTATACACTTCTGTTCACACTTTATTTGAGAAAATTTAGTCACAAGATTCTGTTGACTTTCAAATTTGCTGACTGAACATGGGTACCACTAAAACTTGAGTTGGCAGTTTCCATTACTGAAATAAAAATGGAGAGACTATGTATTAGAAGACAATTGACATTATATGATAAACATTTGATTGTCCCTGACTGTTTTCTGTCACTCAGTGGGACATAACATCTTGATCAGAAACATCTCCTTGGCAATAGTTAAGAGAATTATGTAAGTGATACCAGCCTTTGTTAGAATTATGTAGCTGTGGTGAAACCCTACTTCCCCTTTTACTTGATGTTCACCTATAAACTGGGTATTTAAATAACATCCCATCTAAGACAGCAAACGTCCACTAAAATTATTTAGAGAAAAATGTAGAAGCCTGTCTTTATTCCCACCCAATCTCCTAGTGTCTCCAGAAGAAACAATCTGGGAAAGTTTAGTATGTTTTCATATATTTTACTGTGCATTTCATATCACAGTCTTCATTCAGTACTTTATATTTCAGTGCAAATAATTTCATAATAGATAATGTGATATTAAAAATTATTTTTCAATTAAAGGCTTCTAATTTTTGTTTCATTTGCATTCTACCAGAAAAATGGGCATGAATAGCTGCCAAAATAGATATGCACAGACTGAAATTTATGCTAACATCAGTTACCTGAGTCAGTATATTAACCAAGACAGCACAGAAAAAAGGAACTAGAAATCACACCACATAGCATGCATGCTTCATATGCCAATTACTGAACAAATATAATCAATAAATATAGAGCACTACATAGCAACATGTGCTAACATTCATCATTCCAAATCATATCTTGAGTAAGAAATACATGTTTTGTATAAAATTGATACTGGTATTTCCTCCCTTTTTTAATCTAAAAGAGTAATGTACTAAATTACATGTTATATTTGAGACCATATTATTTCTTAAGAGGTACAAGCTTGTGAGTGTTCTATTAATGTAGAACTATAGGGCCTCCCTGGTGGCGCAGCAGTTGAGCACTGGGTTGTGAAGCTGCCTGCAGCCTCTACAGCACTGGTTGGATCCCCAGCCACCTGGCCACCGGGCGAGGGTCCCACATGGCGCACAGACCTCTCCTGCCACCCGCTGCTCCCCTCAGCCGTGTACTTCGGTCCTTCTGCCTGCTCTGCTCCCTGCTCTGGCTCTGGTGAATTCTCTCACCCTCCCACGCTTCTGACTGTACCCAGTGCTTGTATAAATAAATAAATCTTAAAGAAAAAATAGTATAATGTAGAACTATATAGTTCAGTGTATTTTCTGGTCCTTGTATTTTCAAATTTAAACAGATATAATTATTTAAATGAGAACCCATATTCTTATGATTTTGTTGATATTTCCCCAAAAGAATATACACAGGTATATTTGTTTAAATTATTTTTGGAAGTTTGAGTCTTGATAGTTGACAAGAATATTTTTTAAAATAGCAATTCCATTTACAAATATATTTTATTTTCCAATTTGTCCCAGTAGAAAAAATATAGTTTAAATGAAGAATTATTGTTTTCATCAAGATTTAAAAAAATAATGCCAGAAATAAGGAAATACATTTGCATAAAAATTATTTTTCCCAAATGATCATTTTACATTGTAATATGCAAAGCATTTATTCTCATAAATATGAATAAATAAAACCAAGTAGTATGAATAAATAAAACCAAATTAGTAATTATTTAAATATACCCTTAAAATGCATACTTTGTCTTTTCATTTATTTTCCTATTTCCTGAAGAATATTTCCATATCAAGTAAACATAGTAGTAGTATTTCGTATTTAATGTTAATCAGTTCTAAATTTAAAATACATATTGAATGTACAGTATTCTGTTTAATGTTGTGTTAGTGGTCATGAAGCTGAGGAAATCAGCTCATGTAAGATAACTTAATTGTGACTCACAAACATTATTCCTTGTGCCAAGTCCATAATCAAGACAGTTCATTTTCCAGGATGTGCAAGAGCAGCTGTGGGTTATGATCTAGAGAAGGCATCTTTGCAGTTTTCATTGTTGCCTGGCTTTGTGGGTTTTTTTCCCCTTTGGTATTCCTTCCTGTCAGGATTCCAATTCCATGTATGTTTTTATTCCACCTTTTGTATTAATCCTAAAATCACTGTTCTAAAAGTTTAAATTTTTCTATGGGCGTGCTGTTTTCTTCCATTCATAATCATAGAATGCATTTATTCTAACAAGGAAAAGGCATTATATGCTAATAAATAATTTGAATTTTTTGGCTTTAAAAGTTGAAACAAATGTAGGCATCAGTACTGACAGATTGATGAAATTATCACTAAATAACAGTTAATTTGGTTAAGCAAAAAGACACCTCAGGTTCTCCTTATGTTTATTTTATTTTTTAAGGATTTATTTATTTATGTATATAAGAACTAGGGCATAAGCCAGAGGTGCGGGGCGTGAAAGAATTCACCAGAGAGTGGGGAGCAGAACAGGCAGATCTATTGAAATACACTGCTGAGGGGAGCAGTAGGTGAGACAGGAGAGGTCTGCTGCACCATGTGGGTTAGCTACCTGGCTAGGGATCAAACTCCTGCTGAAGTGGCTGTTGATAGCTTGATAGCACTGTCTTTAACCCCTGAGCCATCAGGGAGGTCCACTCCCTTTATGTTTATGTATTATCTTTATTTTTATTTTTTTTTATAGAGGCATGCTTTTATTTATTTGTTTGTTTGTTTGTTTTTTGTTTATACATGCACTGGGTACAGTCAGAAGCACAGGAGGGTGAGAGAATTCACCAGAGCCAGAGCGGGGAGCAGAGCAGGCAGAAGGACCGAAGTACACTGCTGAGGGGAGCAGCGGGCGGCAGGAGAGGTCTGCGCGCCATGTGGGACCCTCCTCCGGTAGCCGGGGAGCAGCCGGGGATCGAACCGGCGCCGCAGAGGCCTCGGGCAGCTTCGCAACCCAGCGCTCAACCGCTGCGCCACCGGGGAGGCCCTATGTTTATGTATTATCTTTAAACAATGTTTTTGTAAGCCTAGCATACAAGTATATGGGAAGAAAAGGAGCACATTAATAAATTTGGCCTTCCTTTCCCCTTTAAATAATAGTCAGCCTTGGTTTATGTTTATATAGAAATATTCATTAATATTTTTAATCAAGAACAAGCATCGGGCCTCCCCTGGTGGCGCAGGTGGTTGAGTGCCGCACTGTGAAGCTGTCCGCAGCCTCTGCAGCTCTGGTTTGATCTCGGCCGGCCGGTTAGGGTCCCACATGGTGCGGCAGACTTCTCCTGTCTCCCTGGCTGGTCCCCTCAGCAGTATATTTCGTCAGTCTGCCTGTTCTGTTCCCCTCTCTGTCTCTGGTGAATCCTCTCACCCTCCCACAAATGTGGCCTGTATCCCGGTTCTTATATAAATAAATAAACAAATAAATCTTAAAAAAAAAAAAAAGAACAAACATCAATTTCCTTTTAAGTTACTCTGTAATCTCTCCTGTTATAGTATATATAGCCTTGGTATTGAATAATAGTTATAGATTTAAAAACACCTTAAAATTAAGATTTTTTTTAGCCACTCTAATTTTTTGTGTACGTTCCTAATGACACTGTTCAAGTAACAGGTGTGTACTTTAAACTGGACTTTAATTGGGCTTTACTCAGAGACTGTATAGCTCTTGTGATGTCTCCCTTTGGGAGCTGGTCTATGAGTAAATTTTATCCTTTGAAGAAAGGTGGAATAAATGTTTAGTGATTCTGGAATGATTGTGACAGAGGCAATACTATTTGTCCACTGAACTGTCTTAATTTTCCTCACTATCATAAAACACACTCACACGCAAAATACAGAACTCTAATTCATCTTCTTTTATGTGTGGCTCACACCTAACTGTTAACATTTCAGGCCTGAGTTCTACAATTTCCTGAGTGATCATCCATTTTCACCATCTTATTTTTCTTGCAATTTCTAGGAATGAAAAACTGAAGGAGAGATAGTTGTACACTTGCCCATTGAGGAATAATCCCCATGCAGCTATGGAGGACCTGACGTAAAGCTAGTGCATTGCAGGAAGTAAACTTTTAAGTAAATTTAAATTTAAAGAACCATTAAGTGGGCCATAGCTCCAATATCTGAGAGTATGTTCTAAGAGTTGGTGATGCAGAAATGTGGAAGAGGCAAGGGTCTTAAAACATCACTTAAAATGTTTTGCATTGAGCAATAACATCAGATTGTGTTATAAGAACAAAGAATGCAATTTGTTAACAAAGTGAGATTTTTTTAATTTTGTTTTTATATTCCCCATATAATTACAACCCCCTTATTTTGACAAAGTGAGATATTCTTAGAATTAATCTGTGTGACTGTTATAAAAGTTATACCTATAGGGCCTCCCCTGATGGCACAGTGGTTGAGTGCTGGGTTGCTAGGCTGCCCGCAGCCTCTGCAGTGCCAGTTCAATCCCCGGCCACCAGCGAGGGTCCCACAAAAAAAAAAAAAAAGTTATACTGATATTAATAATCTTAGCATTTAGTCTAAAAGCTGTCAGATGTTTTGGTGAATAAATAAATTAATATTTGATATTCATATACTCTAGTTATGAAAAGAGCTTATGTTCAAGATATAAGCAGAAAGCAATTTGTTTTTTTTTTATTTTATTTTTATATTCCCCATACAATTGCAACCCCCTTATTTTGACCCCAATTCCTCCTTTCCCCCCCCACCCCCCATAGTGTGTCTCTGGTTCATAGTTGTTTGTTGAAAGCAGAAAGCAATTTGAACTGTTATATTCTTGCAAAAAATTCCATGTCCTAATTTTTTGTTTATTTATTGTATAGAGCTTTAAGAAATAAGCTGAATTGTTAAAAAGATTTTTATGACTCTTCAGGAAGAAAACTCAGTGTAAAAATAATCTAAAGTCATTGTTCAGTGACCTTTCCTGCACCCTTTCAATATTGTTTGTCAATGACTTATATACCTGCTTTGTGACGCTTAGACTTTTTTTACTAAATAAGCTAAAACTGTAACTCAAAAACATGTCCATCCCATGTTCATTGCGGCATTGTTTATAATAGCCAATGAATGTAAACAACCTCAGTGACTATTG